CATCATGATACATGCTTTAAATACAATTCAATTACCGGTAAGCATCTAAAACAGTGGTCACCAACCGGTCGATAGTGATTGACTGGTCGATCTCCAAGCCATTCCTAGTCGATCACCAAACATTTCTGTAAAAAACCCAACGATAAAGCCTTGCGTTCCAATTGTTTTATTTGTTTCGCGCTGTTCGCAGTAGGTGCACTTGATTCAGCAGCCCTGGTGCCGAGAAGGCAAAGTGTTCCCATTTTTAACCATTTCATGTGTCTGAAGCTAGACCTCTGCTTATCTGGCCAATCAGATGGCTCAGATCACGTGTCTGCACAGTTTCCTCGCGCCATAGACTGTAAATAGAAACCTCGAAATCACAGCAAAGTTGATAACGTGAGATTTCAAAACTTTTAAAGCCATGACTAGAGAAACTCAACAAATACAGCAAAGACTTCTGTTTACATGAGTAAGTTAATGTTTAAGTTGTTATTCAGCACTGTCAAGACTTTGTTCAACAGTTTTATAAACCATTAAATGCGCGTTCGGTACTTCCACTCACGCTACAACCAGCACTGCAGCTGCAATGAATGAGTATAGCAAAGTGTTTCGATAAGCTTACGTTGTAATTATTTGCAGCTTGTGTCTTTTTTATTATCAAGGAATATTTCACTTTCTCTGGTTATAGGAGTAACAACATGAATTGGTGCATGAGGCAGAAATAATGCAGTGGGACTTGAGTTTCGCCCATCAGCTGGAAGACTGTGTCCCCTTTTCTTAATGTGTTATTTCATAGTTTTGATGTCTTCACTATTATTCTACAATGTAGAAAATAGTACAAATAAAGAAAAACCCTTGAATGAGTAAGTGTGTCCAAACTTTTGACTGGTACTGTATATATATTTTGAACCCCTTGAGAAGGGAAATCATGTTTTTTATGAAGTTGAACATGTGCTCTTTATGACAGAATGTTACAATTAGATCAAATCAAAAGGCACACTTCTCAAAAGGCACCAAATTGGTGGAATGACCCTAATGGAACATTTACCTTAGAGAGAGCATTTATTGCCCATATAACAAATAAGTACAGATGCAGACAGCCATACACTGAGTACATATCGAATTAACTTTCTTTTTTTCTTCTTAAACTATGGTTAATAAAGGCAACTCAATAAACATACCGGTATGGAATCCATAAAGGACGTAATATCCCAAAAGAAGATATGCCAGTCATCTGATCTCTGGTTTGACATACAGTTGAAGTCGGAAGTTTACATACACCTTAGCCAAATACATTTAAACTCAGTTTATTTATATATTTCAGCTTTTATTTCTTTCATCACATTCCCAGTGGGTCAGAAGTTTACATACACTCAATTAGTATTTGGTAGCATTGCCTTTAAATTGTTTAACTTGGGTCAAACGTTTCTCGTAGCCTTCCACAAGCTTCCCACAATACGTTGGGTGAATTTTGGCCCATTCCTCCTGACAGAGCTGGTGTAACTGAGTCAGGTTTGTAGGCCTCCTTGCTCGCACACGCTTTTTCAGGTCTGCCCACAAATGTTCTATAGGATTGAGGTCAGGGCTTTGTGATGGCCACTCCAATACCTTGACTTTGTTGTCCTTCAGCCATTTTGCCACAACTTTGGAAGTATGCTTGGGGTCATTGTCCATTTGGAAGACCCATTTGCGACCAAGCTTTAACTTCCTGACTGATGTCTTGAGATGCTGCTTTAATATGTCCACATCATTTTCCTTCCTCATGATGCCATCTATTTTGTGAAGTGCACCAGTCTCTCCTGCAGCAAAGCACCCCCACAGCATGATGCTGCCACCCCCGTTGTTCACGGTTGGGATGGTGTTCTTCGGCTTGCAATTCCTCCCTTTTTCCTCCAAACATAACGATGGTCATTATGGCCAAACAGTTCTATTTTTGTTTCATCAGACCAGAGGACATTTCTCCAAAAAGTAAGATCTTTGTCCCCATGTGCAGTTGCAAACCGTAGTCTGGCTTTTCTATGGCGGTTTTGGAGTAGTGGCTTCTTCCTTGCTGAGCGGCCTTTCAGGTTATGTCGATATAGGACTTGTTTTACTGTGGATATAGATACTTTTGTACCTGTTTCCTCCAGCATCTTCACAAGGTCCTTTGCTGTTGTTCTGGGATTGATTTGCACTTTTTGCACCAAAGTACGTTCATCTCTAGGAGACAGAACGCGTCTCCTTCCTGAGCGGTATGATGGCTGCGTGGTCCCATGGTGTTTATACTTACGTACTATTGTTTGTACAGATGAACGTGGTACCTTCAGGCATTTGGAAATTGCTCCCAATGATGAACCAGACTTGTGGAGGTCTACAATCTTTTTTCTGAGGTTTTGGCTGATTTCTTTTGATTTTCCAATGATGTCAAGCAAAGAGGCACTGAGTTTGAAAATACGCCTTGAAATACATCCACAAGTATACCTCCAATTGACTCAACTGATGTCAGTTAGCCTATCAGAAGCTTCTAAAGCCATGACATCATTTCCTAGAATTTTCCAAGCTGTTTAAAGGCACAGTCAACTTAGTGTATGTAAACTTCTGACCCACTGGAATTGTGATACAGTGAATTATAAGTGAAATAATCTGTCTGTAAACAATTGTTGAAAAAATTACTTGTGTCATGCACAAAGTAAATGTCCTAACCGACTTGCCAAAATGATAGTTTGTTAAAAATATATTTGTGGAGTGGTTGAAAAACAAGTTTTAATGACTCCAACCTAAGTGTATGTAAACTTCCGACTTCAACTGTATCGTCTATTTAAACCACCAATTCTCCCTGCAGCCAGTAAACAGTTACTGCATCAGCAATGGATTGATTCTACAGCCATGTCCTTGAACAAGGTACCTAAACTAAACTGCTGCGTCGATGTAGATTGTGATCCATGAAAGCCATAAGTAAATAGTTAATGTTTCTTATCATTATTAATTACCATTATAGCAGGGGAGTCCCTCATGTTCTGTTTCGTATTCCTCTGAACATTTGAAATAATTCAAACATAAATCCAAATGTTTATCCAAGATAAATCAGAAGTCAGAAGCCAGTTGTCATTTCCTATAAACAAGTTCCTAATTGGCAATGGATTATGTAAACATTGTTTTGTTTTGGAGTACAAAAAAGGCAAGTGGCAGTACTGTCCTCACCCCAATGAATCAGAGAAACAGAAATGACATTGTTATTGTGACAGATACACACTGAGTCAGTAAAAGGCATTTGGGAACTTCTATTAGAGAACTGTCCATTGAAGGAGGTACGATGACAACTCCACATAGCACCCCCACGGGTATCTGAGGTGGATGGCATGCCAGGCATTTGCTTGATTGTTCTTCCTCGATGTACTAGCTGGCGTGAGTCATGTCACGATAACAATCTATTATTTGTAGTGCTGGTGTACTAAGTCAGAGGGAGGGCACTGGTTTCCTTTTCAGCTTGGGGTGTCTTGACTTGCGGTCTACACTTGTTAGAGAAACGTTACCACAAATTGTGTTAGTGTGTAAACAAACAACTTAAACACATGCCCAGTCAAGAAACTTTCCTCAGGGATTAGAAGTGATGGTATGAATTTTCCAGCGGCTGAGGAAGGACTGAAAGTGTGACAAACAATATGTGAACTTTTGTATGTTTTATGTGCAATTCCAATACGATCTGTAACAATATATAGAACAACTCAAAAAGGTTTGTACAGCATGCAAGTAACAGTGATTCAGAGAATCATCGGTTACATAATTTAAAGGCCACAAAATAAAAGGGAGCTGTCTATCTCTATTGGGCAGCAACGAACAAGTCTGTCAAGTTGTGGGCACTATCAGGTGGTCAACAAAGTCATGGGTTAACCTACAGTAAAATCACGTAACCTCCGGCAATGCTCCATCAAGACTAAAAGGTAACACCAGAAGCTGCAGCACTTGATCTCACTGAATGAAACCTTACCTCATACAAGAATGGTCTACTAACTAATAGTTCCCTGCTAGGTTTTGAAAGTGAGTATCTTTGAGTGTTTTCCAGGCATGAATCGCCCGTAATTGGTTTAATTCAAATTCTACCCACTGGGCACAGACGTCAATTCAACATCTATTCCACATTGGTTCAACGTTATTTCATTGAAATGACGTGGAAACAATGCTGATTCAACCAGTGTGTGCCCAGTGGGTATTGAGTGTGTGGTAGTGACTGTCCAGTATGAGCAGATTGCTCCTTGACTAGCAGTGTCTCAGTACACACAGGCAGGCACATTTCACAGCTCCTCCCTCAGTAGGGTGTGATTAAAGCCAGTGCAGGCTGAGGGCAACCTGCACTCTGGGTTACAGCCCTGAGAGAGAGAGAGCGAGAGTTGAGAGAGAGAGAGAAGGGTAGAGAGATAGGGAGGGAGAAACACCCAAAGAGGGAGGGGGCATCCACTTGGTGGTTCTTGCAACAGCGTCACAGCTGCTTGCTCTCAACAGTGTGGCATCCCTCTCATATAACACACAGCGAAACGCGCTCCAGCCAAATACTACATTATGTATGATTGGACTTATTTCACAGGAAAGGTTTTCTTTACTTCTTGAATTGGTGGTTTGTTTCACTATCCTCTCCAGGGATGTATAAAACAAAGACAAAATGAGCAAAAAGGATTGTTAAGTATTTTTATTTTTTATTTGTACATTTTGGATGCATTGCACTGACAAGACAACATGTTGTTGTCATCGACATTAGAGGAACTTCTCACCAACCTTTTTTGGTCTTTGGAGACATCGGAGACAGACATACATAAACCACTGGTGGTGTTTGGAGGATCTGGACACTGACCAGTGATACATGAAAGCTGTGTAATATGTCAGAGATTTACGTTTGCTTCGAATGAACAGAAGCGAGAGGATGTGACACAGAGAGACCAAATTCTTGTGAGTTTGACTTAAAAAATGCTAGTACGAAATGTTCTTTTTTACCCGTAATACGTGAAAAATCTATTTTCACTTTGTGTATCTCTCTGCTTATGAAGATGGATTTTAACTTGAGTAGCACAGTGCTCTATGCGGTCAACAGCACTGTGACCCCCTTCCTCAACAATACAGGACCCTACCATCCTGCAGCGGGACCCTGGATTTTACTACTGCTGGTGATCATCATCATGACCATCGTGGTGGGCAACCTGCTGGTCATCATAGCTATAGCACGCACATCGCAGTTACAGACTATGACTAACATCTTCATCATGTCCCTGGCCTGTGCTGACCTCATCATGGGGGTCCTGGTGGTCCCTCTGGGGGCCACCATAGTGGTGACGGGGAACTGGCAGCTGAGTGACACCTCTTGCGAGCTCTGGACCTCCGTGGATGTGCTCTGTGTCACTGCCAGCATTGAGACTCTTTGCGTGATTGCAGTGGACCGCTATATTGCTATTACAAGGCCCTTCAGGCACAAGGTTCTGCTCAATAAGTGGCGCGCCCGGCTAATAGTGTGTGTGGTTTGGATTGTGTCTGCTCTGATCTCCTTTGTGCCCATCATGAACCAGTATTGGCGAGCAGAGGATGACCCGGAGGCCTTGGTGTGCTATCAGGATCCTGCCTGCTGTGACTTTTTGACCAACCGGACCTTTGCCATTATATCCTCTGTAGTGTCATTCTACATCCCTTTGCTCATAATGATATTTGTCTATGCCAAAGTCTTCCTTATAGCCACGCGACAGGTACAGCTCATAGACAAGATCCGGCTGCGCTTCCAAAGTGAGTGCCCAGTGCCGCAGACGCAACAGCTGAGCCACCACAGTAATAACATCCTGCCCTTGGGCTATGGAGGCTCCGGCAGCAGAAGCAGCACATGCTCAGCTCGCAAGAGCAGCTCCAGACGAAGGCCCTCACGGCTAACGGTTATCAAGGAGCACAAGGCCCTCAAGACCTTGGGCATTATCATGGGCACCTTCACCCTCTGCTGGCTGCCTTTCTTTGTGGCTAACATAATCAACGTGTTTGACAGGAATGTGCCCCCGGGAGAGATCTTCCGTCTGCTCAACTGGCTGGGCTACATCAACTCTGGCCTCAACCCCATCATTTACTGCAGGAGCCCTGAGTTCCGCACTGCTTTCAAGAACCTGCTGGGCTGCCCCTGGTTTTCTACCCAACGATTAAACATCTTCTACAAGGAGCTGCGGACACGATGCCCCTGCTTCCTGGGTTCGGCTGAGGCAGGGGCGGCCGGCTCTTTCCAGAAGCCCCCTGCTGCTGCCAGGCCTGAGGGGGACGAGAGCCTGACCAGCAGTCAGAGCAGCTACAAGAGAGTGGAACCTTCCCCAGGACCCCCACACTCCAATGGCAGCACACAGTTCAGTGACTTCTCAGAACCAGAAGATGAATTGTAAGTTTCTTCTTGTTATGATTTCAAATTTTGCACACTACATTTTCTCATTCCATGCAGTGAAATACGATAAACAATGCATAGATAACTGGGTCTTTCCACCAATTCAGTGCCTTTTGAGATACAGTGCCTTCAGAAAGTATTCACACCCTTTGACTTTTTCCAAATGTTATTGTGTTACAACCTGATTTTAAAATGGATTAAATGTAGTTTTCTTTGTCACTATACCTACACACAATACCCCATAATGTCAAAGAATAATTATGCTTTTTCAAAATTTTTGCAAATTAACAAAACATGAAAAGCTTAAATGTCAATAAGTATTCAACCCCTTTGTTATGGCAAGCCTAAACAAGTTCAGGAGTAAACATTTGCTTAACAAGTAGCACATAAGTTGCATGGACTCACTCTGTTTGCAATAATAGTGTTTAACATGATTTTTGATGACTACCTCATCTCTGTACCACACACATACAATTATCTGTAACGTCCCTTAGTCCACCAGTGAATATCAAACACAGATTCAACCACAAAGACCAGGCCGATTTTCCAATGCCTCACAAAGAAGGGCACCTATTGGTAGATGGGTAAAAACAAAGAAAATAAAACACTGAATATCCCTTTGAGCATGGTGAAGTTATTAATTACACTTTGGATGGTGTATCAATAATACACCCAGTCACTTTAAAGGAAGGAAACTGCTCAGGAACTTCACCATGAGGCCAATGGTGACTTTAAAACAGTTACAGAGTTTAATGGCTGTGATAGGAGAAGACTGAGGATGGATCAACAACATTGTAGTTACTCCACAATACTAACTTAATTGACAGTGTGAAAAGAAGAAAGCCTGTACAGAATACAAATATTCCAAAACATGCAACCTGTTGCAATAAGGCACTAAAGTAATACTGCAAAAAAATGTGGCAAAGCAATTAATGTTTTGTCCTGAATACAAAGTGTTATGTTTGCTGCAAATCCAATACAACACATTACTGAATACCACTCTCCATATTTTCAAGCATAGTGGTGGCATTGTTAAGGACTGAGGAGTTTTTCAGGATAGAAAATTAACAGAATGGAGCTAAGCACAAGCAAAATCCTAGAGGAAAACCTGATTCAGTCTGCTTTCCACCAGACACTGGGAGATGAATTTACCTTTCAGCAGGACAATAACCAAATCATTTCTGGGTAACAATGAAGTACCTTACTGTGATTGTTTCCAATTAAAATGGTCAAAAAGAAACAAGAATAGAAAAGAGCAGTTTCTCAAGGAAGAATTTTGCTAGGACTGTCTGGGAGTGGTCTGAGTGGGGAGGGGAAAACTGAAAACTAGCTGTTATTGGCAGAAAGGTTTGGAACTCTCTTTCTTATTGGTCTATTAACTAATTTACCACCTGGTGGTCACCAGGCAGGCCAAAACTCCATCCCACCAAAACAGGCAAACATTTCTGACGGCCTTTTCAAACAGCCTTTACACTAAATTCCAACCTCATAGTGTAGAAATATGTATACAAAAATCACGTTTTTGACTGCACTGGGCCTTTAAACTTCATTGAATATAAAATGCAATATTGGTGCACAATGTCTGCTTAAAATATCAAAGGGATGCAAAAGTCCCTCATTTTGTGGACGACCCAACTCACATGTGCACATTTTAGATTTGGTAATGAGTATCTTGAGAAGACACCATGGTCCATGTCTACATGTGCTTAAATCATGTAAGGTGCTCAGTGTGGTCCAAATTAAATAAATGCTTGGGCACATTTTAGCTCTGATGAAAGTTTCAGTCTGTTGCCCACAACACAGTTAAGGCACAGTTAAAACAGGGAGTATGTCTGTGAATCTGTTTAAATATGTAATGTCTGTGGTAGTAGGAGAAAAATATTACATCAGTGGTCTGACATGTGAGCATGAAATTGTGTTCTTAAACTTTAGGGCTTCTCTTATCTTTAGCGGTCTACAGCTGTGAAGAATGATATGAGAAATCACAACTGCTCTTTTGTTAAGTAGGACACTGAACTTCAAATCCCCCTACCTCTCTGCTAATACCATCAAATACTGTCAGAGGAACCTTTTCAATGTTTAGAAATCCCAAAAGCTGTGTTTAAGACAAGCTTTTTGTTGTCATGCAAGGCGACTAATTCTCAACACTCCCGTATCAAAGTGAATTAAAAACATTAATTGACATAGCCTCTTGAGTTGCGCAGTGTTCTACGGTACTGCATTGCAGTGCTAGCTGTGCCACTAGAGATCCTGGTTCGAATCCAGGCTCTGTCATAGCCGGCCGCGACCGGGAGACCCATGGGGCGGCGCACAAGCTTCAAAACAGTTTACTCCTACATGTCTTTCCAATGTAGGCCTATTAATATCTGATAATTTCCCTTCATATTGTTGCAATACACTAACATAGGTTAAATAAGCATTTTACGTGTGTGTGTGTGTGCGTGTGTGTGTACTGTCAACCATTCAATAAATCTCTATTTAAGAATGGAAATAACAATGTAACAATACGATCACATCAGGAGAGGGGTGAACTGCTGCAATCCAGAAGGCATGTTTAGAATCGTTTCTGTAGTTTTAGCGGTATTCCTTTGGGAGAGGGGATAAGTTTGGTAAATCAAACAATCTCTTTGAATCTTTCACTCACAGGTTTCATAGAGCTCACTGGGCATGCATGTTGAATATCAGGGGGAATCCATATTTGGATATGTTCTGAATACATCAAGGTGCTGTGTCCGATTAAAATAGATTTGGCAGAACAATGTACAAAAAATGAATGCACTCAATGCTATCATACTGAAAGATAAGCTGATGTAGAAATATTACAACATTGTAATGTAATGTGAAATGTAATATGAATATTTCCATTATGTTGTTGCTGGTACCATATTATGTTACCTGTAATCCATCTTTGAATCCAGCTCAGGTCAACATTATATAAATTACTAACAGATGTCCAAGGTTTTTCTCTTAGAAACTAATAATTTCTAATCCACATCAGTAATTTTGTGCTTCTGTCGCTGTATATGTAGCTGTATATGTAGCTGTATATGTAGCTGTATATGTAGCTGTATATGTAGCTGTATATGTAGCTGTATATGTAGCTGTATATGTAGCTGTATATGTAGCTGTATATGTAGCTGTAGCTGTACGCTACTATACCCTTTAACACCAGATCTTACTGTGTTGTGGGACCTTCGCTACCAGTTGATTATCAATTTAGAACCTGAAGGTTAATACATCTAAGAAAACATGAATAGAACATACTTGATGACAAAAAGGACATCATACTAAAAATATACATGATAGTAAAGTATGTCCAAACTTGACCAAATTAAAGTGTGATGTCTCATGCAGAGCAACATGAGCTGATCAACGTTTAGCCGTTATAGAGGAGCTTCCCAACAGTTGAGTGGTGTTTATGCCTCGGCTAGGGCCCCTCTGCAGCCTGTCCAACACCCCCCGCAGCTGATAAAGCTTTATCACTGGGCCACAAGACTTCTGCTCACTGGGAGACGCTGTTTACAAGACAAATAGGCAAAGGGAGCACACACGGTTTGGTTACAGTTGGACTGCTAAACATGTGTCTTACCAAACCAATCCAATTTGCAGAGTCACTCCATACACTATACATATGCTGGGATCAGGTTTCCTTTTTAATGACTACCACTTCCCTCTAACAACTTCAACCATAACAAGTGCCTTCACTCACTGCTGTCTTCTCACTGCATCAGTTTACAGTTGAAGGGTAGTGGGCTATGTTATCTTTACTGATCTCCAGTGGGGGTTCAGGGGCAGTTAGGACTCGTTATGAATGCACATTCTTCTCACACATGCACTACTGGATCTAAAGATTACTTAAAAAGCTCCAGAGCTGACGATTGTCTAGTAATATGAATAGGCCAGTGACATGCAATTACAATTGTATTTATCCAAACAGTTCATTTGCATCGTCACATTTGTTTCTAGATACATGTCATTTAGCAGACACTTTTTTATGCTGCCATCTCTGAGCTCTTTTACAGATAGATGCAATCAATTGGGCAGTAACATGAGAGACATTTAAGAGCATATAAAAGTATTCCTTAAAAGGAGCAGAGCCCATCCAGTTCAGCCTGAGAAAGAAGGCTATAGCTCAGTGTAATACTACTCACACCGGCACTACAATGCTTTGAGCTAGATTTGATCATGTCAGTAAGATAATTGTGTCTCAGACAAACTGGACCGTGGCTTTGACAGTCTATCGAATGTGGATGATAAAGCGTGTAATCCCTATTACCTCGGCAGGCAGGATGGCTTGGCTAGGACACGGCATGAATCAGGGATCTGTGGCAAGGCTAGGACACGGCATGAATCAGGGATAATAATAATATAATATGCCATTTAGCAGACGCTTTTATCCAAAGCGACTTACAGTCATGCGTGCATACATTTTTTGTGTATGGGTGGTCCCGGGGATCGAACCCACTACCTTGGCGTTACAAGCGCCGTGCTCTACCAGCTGAGCTACAGAGGACCACGATCTGTGGCTAGGCTAGGACACGGCATGAATCAGGGATCTGTGGCAAGGCTAGGACACAGCATGAATCAGGGATCTGTGGCTAGGCTAGGACACGGCATGAATCAGGGATCTGTGGCAAGACTAGGCCACGGCATGAATCAGGGATCTGTGGCAAGGCAAGGACATGGCATAAATCAGGGATCTGTGGCTAGGCTAGGACACAGCATAAATCAGGGATCTGTGGCTAGGCTAGGACACAGCATGAATCAGGGATCTGTGACTAGGCTAGGACACGGCATGAATCAGGGATCTGTGGCTAGGTTAGGACAGTGATTCCCAACCGGGGTACTAGAACCCCTGGGAGTACTTGGCCTATCCACAGGGGGTACTTGAGAAGACTCATGAGACCATAGGCTTACTGGTCAAATGCACATGAGGGGGTACTTCAGGGGTACTCCAGGCAGAGCAAAATTCAGTTGGTGGTACAGTAACTGAAAAAGGTTGGGAACCACTGGGCTAGGACACGGCATGAATCAGGGATCTGTGTCTGCTGCAGGTTGTGATCAGCCAGGGCTCTCTCTGGGCACTCCCACAGATCAGAGGCAGTTTGGGAGGATATTATTCATGATTAGGACTTGATTTGGAGGGATAGTCAGACACCATGTGCTCCTCATTCATTTCAGTCTGTCTCATGTGTGTGATGGTCACAGAAGTGTCAAACACACTGCAGACAGAATATAAACAATGAGACAGCTAGGAGTGTGTGTGTGTGTGTGTGTGTGTGTGTGTGTGTGTGTGTGTGTGTGTGTGTGTGTGTGTGTGTGTGTGTGTGTGTGTGTGTGTGTGTGTGTGTGTGTGTGTGTGAGAGAGAGACCTCAGACGGTCTCATAATGGTTGAGAGGTCTTTGGAACGTCAGTGGGACAATATTAACTATTCTTATTAAAGTGAATGACAAACAGCCCTAAATAGGGAATGGTCTGAGCTTTGTACAAATGACTGCTTATACATTGTTACTGACAAAGTTGATGCCACATTGGCAATTCATGGTAGTTATTTTCTCTCTCAAATGTGATACTGATAGTGCTGAGCATGGGGTATAGGAATAGGACATGTAGTATAGGAATAGGACATGTAGTAAAGGAATAGGACATGTAGTATAGGAATTGGACTTACATTTTACATTTTAAATTAAACCCAGTGTAATTTGTTCATTCCATACAGTATAGTATTTTAACTAGCATGCATAGCAGCAAAATAATAAAATTAGCTAACGTCCTCAGAATTTCTCATGTCAAACAGTAATGTTGTTTTGAGATCTATAGAGTGACAGCTGCTACTGCATTAGTCCTCATGATGTGGCAGCACTACAGCCTCTTGTAATAGTTATCACACACTCATTCTCTTTCATAAGCAGTGGCCTGCAGTGATCTGATTGGTCAAAAAAACAATTAGTGGCAAAAGATCAGAATTGGGCTGCCGGTGTTGTCCACTCCTGGAAGCAAAATGCCATGAAGAACTTTATAGTTCTAGAGCAGGCTTTGCTTTTATTTCGATTTGAGAAAAGGCTTAGGCCTGAAATTAAAAAAATTAAAATGTGCCCTAATATTGTTTGATTATACAAGGCCAACACAATCAATTTTGCAAGTTTGATTTCTGGATCACCATTTCATTGTTACCTTCAATTGAGCCATTCAGCAAAGAGTGCATTACTGTTTTGTTAACACTGGAGCCAAATTGAGATAGAATAGGACAGTTCAGCCATGGGACAACATGAGGAAGACTGTATAATAGAGAGAAGCCATTATCACAAAAAAGAAGATTATCATACTAATTAAGCATCAGTAATGGCAGAGCCTCTATAAACGCATGTTAGAAGAGAGGTTGGTTTTATAATGGCTTTGCAATCAGTAGCTCAGTGGCTCTGACGTTTGCGTTTGCCCTGGCACTAAAAGGTTATGGCTTAAATTGCCATCTGACAGAGTCATACCAGGGCTTTAAAAAGGGGAACCTATTGCAGCTTTCCGTGGAAATTCTTTGTGGGCTGTGCCTGGAACAGTAATATCCATCTGATGGCTGATGGACTAAACTCTCTTTCTGTATGCTACCATGCAACTGAGACTGAGGCATGCTCTCACCCCTTAGGGTGGTCCAGGGACAAATATGCCTCAAGACATTATCCAAACATCACGTCCCTCAAAAGAAACATGTAGTGTGTCAGGCATGGTTATCAAATCCCCCTCTCATAATACAGCAAATCATCGCATGGATATCACATGAAATCCACAGAAATCCTGGGTTAAGAAGTTTCTGTGCAGCACCTATATTCAGTTCAGTAATGGCTTTAGTGAAATAGCACTCACGAGGCATCACAACAAGTAATGAAGGCCAACATGTTGTGGCAGTGTGAACTCAGACACAACTCTCTAATGCCTATGTTCAGAGCAAATTGAATTGCTCAGACACATTACACTTTCACCCTCTGAACTTGTGTTGTTGTTTCAGCTTCCAGTTGTTTGGCATGGCAACTATATCAGGCAAGAAATAGCTTTTGGATAGAATCCACCAAGCGGAGAGGCGGTGGAAATATGTCCATCTGCAGGCCAGCCTAATATACTGAGTGACTCAGAGCACCTGCCAAAATTGGCTTATTACTCCAAATGACTGAGTAAAACATTTATACACACATTAGGTGACATTGGTGATGCTTGAGTCCCATAATAGAACTGCATGCTGAGTGTGTAAAGCCACACAGCTAAGGGTGAAATCTAAATCCCTGCTCCTGTATTAATATGAATAAACAAATACATTGTACTCTGTTTCAGAAAATTTGTCAGTTAAACAGCATTATCAACGGTAAAATGCCATTGTAAGTCCAGTCAATATTTGGAAAGGCTAATCATAACAGTTAATCTATTAATCTATTTCTCATGACGGTATCAATGCTGCATGAAATACAATGTACATACTTTCCAGTTATACTACAGGCATGCAGGATAGCCACAAAAAATAACTAGTGAAAGAGGAAATTGATCTGCTGACAGATGAATGCACTAAGGCTAAGCCTTTCCATTCTGTCTCAAATAAATCACATTGTACAATCTTTAACACAATGGTCACTTTTTCAGATTACAGCGAGTGACAAGTATTGTATATCAAAATTATGGTCAGGATTCTATACAAAGAACAACTGCAAAATGAATACCAGCAGCAGTGACTTACCCAGGAGATTACCTGAACTGGCAGAAATATATGGAAGCTTATATACATTATTTCAAAGCTATCCATTTCCAATCTAAACTGTTGAGTTAAGGCTATGGCACTGTGCATATGTTTTACCACATATCACTAAAAGTTTTAATGCCGTTCTAAGAGAGGACATTGCAAAATAGCTATTTTAATGTGCAGTCGACCATGACAGACCAAGCATTTCCCTTTGAAATATGTGAGCACTGACAATAACTGAGATCTGCACAATATAGATTAGGAGTCTTTTGTTGGATTAGGATGAGCTCAAACCTCGGAGAGCATGAAATGAGGAACAGGATGACAGGAGCATGGTAATGTGAGAACTCAATGGTCAATGTCAATGAGAGCTGAGTATATGATCAAATCCTACATCTACACCATCAAGAAGAAAATGGTGGAAGTTGAGTAAGCAGTTCATTATGGAACAAATCCAAATGTTAAGTCAAAGTTTTACTTCACTGTCTACAGCTGAGTAAAGTTAAGAAACTGCAAACAACTTGATTTAAATTTTGCGCCATTAATCATTGGAATCAACATATTTGGCACTTCCACTACAGTGGACTGGATTACAAAATAAACCCCTTGGCCACAAACCTTCCAAGGGCCAGACCTCACTTGCTGACCACAAAGTCCACTTTACCCTGTTGACAGGTACTGTAAAAGAAAATACACTTAACTCAAATGATGGATGTCTCTGTCTGAGACTTTCGAGCAAAAGCTAAATTTGAACAAGGTTTTAAACTACACGGGCAATTCTTTCCCTCAGAAGTCCAAGTGAAAGTACAATACTTGCTGTATAAGGGATAAGGGTACTTGAGACATATTTCATTTAGTTTTTTCCATTTTCTCTAGATTTCTCCAACAAAGCAATGGTGAGCATTGTTTACCATTTTCCTGTGTAGACATGTACTGTAAAGTTGATTTTGAAAAAAGAAGTGGTTGGGCAGGGAGTATGTTTGTGGGAAAGAGAAACATGAGAGTATACACTACTATGAAGTGATTGATGGGAATAGGAAGGGCATTCATAAAATCAGGATAGACACATTCAAAAGCTCAAAATCAAATAAGCAGTAAAACGAACTGATATTGTTCCCCAGTCTGAAGTCAACCCAAATCACACAATGTTCAATATGGTAATGTAGGTTACACATTTAAACCTCCTTCCACCATGTTAGAGTCATCTCTCACAAGGGGTATTTGCCAAGTAAAACAAACACAGTTAGTTGGCCTTCTTGTCTAGATGCTTTAACAGTAAAGGAACATGTGCTTGGGATTTCATGGGAAGATGGGATAAATAACAAGTCTGATATTGCAAAGCAAATTTAAATGACAAGTGGCACGATCACATAAGATGGTTGGATCGATTTCAGGGTTGGATATCAATGTCATATCAATGTAAAAATGTTTTCATCTTCCCCAAGGCAGGGAGAATTTTTTTTGTATTATTTTAGGGGGTCAGTGTAGTTCAGTCATGTTTAAATTCATCTTTGAAATGTAATTTATTTTGTAATGTGTTTTTGGAGGTATTGTTGATATTTCACCATTGCTTACAAGAACCACTTTCTGCTGGTTCTGAATTTCTATTTTTTATAACTATTATAGTAAATTGTGCTTAGTATATTTTGGCTAACATTCCTCAAAATAAATTATAATTAACTGAAATGACATTCTTATTTCTCAGTGAATCATAGGCTTTAACAAAGTATGGAATATGACAGTGTCTCAGAATATGAAGAATGACAGGAATTTGACTCAATACAGTAACCCCCAAAATTCTAATTTATCCTTATTCACTCAGTTTCACATTACAGGAAAAGGATGGGTGAAAGATTTGGAAACAAATCTCAAGAAATTAAAAACAACAAAAGGCTGACTCCAACAGTGACTTTCACAACTGACTGAGCAGAGATTGGAATGGCTGAGATGAGACTGCACAAAGAAAAACCTAATAAAGCAGATGCACTGGTCCTGGTGAATATGGGCAAGGAAGATTGACTGCTGTTAAAACCCTGAGGAGGAGAACTGGACTGGGCAGTTTAGGTTGGCTGACCTGGATGTTTGGGAGCAGCACCAGTTTAAAGGTCCTGATCACAAGACTTGAAGACTGTGTCAACACACCACCCTGTCACATATTAGTAGGTCTGGGACTGTGAGGAAGACTGTTCACTGCAACCCAGCATTAAATCATCATCATGAACTGACGTATACTGGCCTTGGCTGCCACCAACACGCTCACAGCATACTGTGTACAATAGGACTCTTTCTTTACAACCAGAAATGATTTCAGTAGCTCTTAGGATGTGTAACAGTAATACACTGTAGACGTTCAAGCACAATGTGTGTGGCCTCTGGTCTAAAGTGGGCAATCAGAATAAATGGTGTACATTATCTAATGCAAAATTATTTATTTATTATATCCTCACTTTATCTGTACATGCAAAACTTGTCAACTGAACACAGGAATCTCATGTTATATGTCTTTACTGTCCAGTAATGTCCAGTAACGTCCATAGTGTAGCAACACGTTTTCTATTCAGTGTTCATGTCATCAACCTCTTCACTGCCAAATCAGCCTAACTAACTGCACCTGAAATATAAGTGTTCTGATCAAGTGATCGGCCTAAATTACATTGGTAATAACCAGAGCCATTAACTTACATATTTTTGAAAAAGTGATATGTAACTAAAGATATTGTTTGTAATAAACAGTCAATTATGAATATAAGTCAAGTACCACCAATGTCAACCTATGAAACGCTAAGACCATTTGGAGCATCAGCCACACAAAATGTACCAACATCAGGTGTACTGACACACAGCCAAATTACATCCTCATGGTGCTTCGTACACGCAGCAGAACAATCTGCAATTCCTTGCATCTCATGCAGCTCATAACTTATTTATTGTTTGATGACGAAGCAGTGAATGAGAGTGATGTGACAGACATCACTCTGTGAATGAGAGTGATGAGACAGACACAGAGAAGATGGGCTCAGAGAGGGTCAGAGAAAGAGTGAGTGACAGACAGACAGAGAGTTAGAGACCAGTTATAAAGACAGACGATAGATAGATAGATAGATAGATAGATAGATAGATAGATAGATAGATAGATAGATAGATAGATAGATAGATAGATAGATAGATAGATAGATAGATAGATAGATAGATAGATAGATAGATAGATAGATAGATAGATAGATAGATAGATAGATAGATAGATAGATAGATAGATAGATAGATAGATAGATAGATAGATAGATAGATAGATAGATAGATAGATAGATAGATAGATAGATAGATAGATAGATAGATAGATAGATAGATAGACAGAGACAGAGAATTAGAGACAGAAAAAAGACAGATAGACAGACAAACAGAACAGACAGACAGAGAGTGGAGGGATAGTGAGAGACAGAATCTTGGCTATAAAGAGAGATACATTTGGATGTAGAGTCTCTCTCTCACTCTAGGGGAATAAACCCTGGACCGCATAATGCTCACAGTAACTGCGTGGGGTTGGAAACACTCATGCTACAAAAACATCCTTATCTCCTCAACTCCTTGGGATGGAAACAATTATCTGGACTGCAATTCAACTCGATTCCTATCAGGTAATTCCTGTTACAATTGTTTTTTTTTAAAAGTGGCAGGCCGATAAAGGATTCATTAATCACAACACAACCTACTGTGCTTTATAACACTACTACTACAGTGGGGGAAAAAAGTATTTAGTCAGCCACCAATTGTGCAAGTTCACCCAATTAAAAAGATTAGAGAGGCCTGTAATTTTCATCATAGGTACACGTCAACTATGACAGACAAATTGAGGGAAAAAAATCCAGAAAATCACTTTGTAGGATTTTTTATGAATTTATTTGCAAATTATGGTGGAAAATAAGTATTTGGTCACCTACAAACAAGCAAGATTTCTGGCTCTCACAGACCTGTAACTTCTTCTTTAAGAGGCTCCTCTGTCCTCCACTCGTTACCTGTATTAATGGCACCTGTTTGAACTTGTTATCAGTATAAAAGACACCTGTCCACAACCTCAAACAGTCACACTCCAAACTCCACTATGGCCAAGACCAAAGAGCTGTCAAAGGACACCAGAAACAAAATTGTAGACCTGCACCAGGCTGGGAAGACTGAATCTGCAATAGGTAAGCAGCTTGGTTTGAAGAAATCAAAATAGAACTTTTTGGTAAAAACTCAACTCGTCGTGTTTGGAGGACAAAGAATGCTGAGTTGCATCCAAAGAACACCATACCTACTGTGAAGCATGGGGGTGGAAACATCATGCTTTGGGGCTGTTTTTCTGCAAAGGGACCAGGACGACTGATCCGTGTAAAGGAAAGAATGAATGGGGACATGTATCGTGAGATTTTGAGTGAAAACCTCCTTCCATCAGCAAGGGTATTGAAGATGAAACGTGGCTGGGTCTTTCAGCATGACAATGATCCCAAACACACCGCCCGGGCAACGAAGGAGTGGCTTCGTAAGAAGCATTTCAAGGTCCTGGAGTGTTCTAGCCAGTCTCCAGATCTCAACCCCATAGAAAATCTTTGGAGGGAGTTGAAAGTCTGTGTTGCCCAGCGACATCACTGCTCTAGAGGAGATCTGCATGGAGGAATGGGCCAAAATACCAGCAACAGTGTGTGAAAACCTTGTGAAGACTTACAGAAAACGTTTGACCTGTGTCATTGCCAACAAAGGGTATATAACAAAGTATTGAGAAACTTTTGTTATTGACCAAATACTTATTTTCCACCATAATTTGCAAATAAATTCATTAAAAATCCTACAATGTGATTTTCTGGAGAAAAAAAATCTCATTTTGTTTGTCATAGTTGACGTGTACCTATGATGAAAATTACAGGCCTCTCTCATCTTTTTAAGTGGGAGAACTTGCACAATTGGTGGCTGACTAAATACTTTTTTTCCCCACTGTATATAGGCTATAGTATATCAAAGGTGGCCAAAACCAATCAAGGCACTGTGGTGTGGACGACAGATTAACCCAATGACAAAGCCAGGATTGAGCCATTTGTTTTTTTTAAGTCTGAGGGAAAATGGTGTCTAGCCAATATGATTTAAAACACCAATGAACAAGTACAAACAAAATACAGTTTGGTATGTTCTGCAAGGACACTTATAATGCCATGGTCACATAACCACTGATAAAATCAATCATCAGACACAGACCAGATAGTCATTCTGTACAGAAAGGGATGCATGTCTGATAAACCTAAAGGACAGGCAGCTTCTCTACAACTATTAGCTTGCATAACACACAAACAATAATGTATTCACACAGTGGAATGCAGTCAAACAGTAGGTCAGGGGGAGTATTCAAGAGGCCATCTCATAATTACAGCGGTGATGCATACTAGATGATCAATGAGAGCATGAAGTTTTCTAATCAAAAAAGGGTACAAATATGTAATGGGATCTTGTGAATCTATTGGCATCGAAATAATATTAAATTAGTTCAATTGTTAAGAGAGAACAAACATGAGTTTCATCATTCACATTGCCCACCAAGATCAAAAGGGTGCACATATGTTATATTCAGTGAATAAGGGCTCTAACAAGACTCAGGCGCTCAAGTATACCTACTGCAAATGGAGAGCAACTATTAACCTAAACATGCAGTGCCACCTAGTGTACAGCTGAGTCTGAACAATCTGCCTCAAATGTTGTAAGTGACCACCGATGTGATCTTTTTACTTGCTTTGTGGTGATGGGCACAGTGTTTTTAGTAATTATTACACAGAAATGGATTAGCCCTTGTTGCTTATATAGTAATTTTAAAGTTTGGTAGCCTATGCTGGATGCAACACTTTCTGGCCATGGGCATGGTTAATGCAGTGGTTACAATGTATAAATCAAACGTTTGCCTGAACATTCTCATAAAAGTTCTGCGGGAGTTTCGTACAGGGACAGACAATATTTTCAAATTTGATTGGATTCAGCATTTGAATTTTGAAATATTATACTCAATTTAACTCCAGAGTTGCCTTTTTCTTTCTGAGGGCTAATCAGGGACAGCTCTAACTGGGGACAGGCAACCAAAATCGGGGACAGTCCCCGTAAATCGGGGACACCTGGTCAAGGATGGTGGATAAATGAAGATGTCCCACTCAGGCCGTTTACCATTGAAAAAAATGGTCACGGTTCCGGTCTGCTTAAGGGGTGGCTCTCCCATAGGCACCAATGCATTAGCAGAGTCTGGACTGCTTAGTTCAATGACTGTATATGAACCAGTGAGTGAGATGTTTCGCTTCCTCTTCCGACTCTGATCTTGTCCCCCTAAAGCAGGGATCATCAACTAGATTCAGCCGCGGGACGATTCTTTCTTGAGAGGATGGTCAGGGGGCCGGAACATAATTACAATCATTTTTAGACTGCAAATTGACCGCAAGAAGCCCAAACAGATATAACATTTGATTAAAACATAATCATTTCAAACCTTGCTTACATTTGTATATGATCACATACACTGAGTGTACAACACATTAGGAACACCTGCTCTTTCCATGACATAGACTGACCTGGTAAATCCAGGTGAAAGCTATGATCCCTTATTGATGTCACTTGTTAAATCCATTCAATCAGTGTAGATGAAGAGGAGGAGACAGGTTAAAGAAGGATTTCTAAGCCTTGAGACAGTTGAGATATGGATTGTGTATGTGTGCCATTCAGAGGGTGAATGGGCAAGACAAAATATTTATGTGCCTTTGAACGGGTTATGGTAGTAGGTGCCAGGCGCACCGGTTTGAGTGTGTCAAGAACTGCAAAGCTGCTGGGTTTTTCATGCTCAACAGTTTCCCATGTGTATCAAGGATGGTCCACCACCCAAAGGATATCCAGGCAACTTGACATAACTATGGGAAGCATTGGAG